GCTATATAAAGATATGCAATATAAGTAAATGTATATATACAAAATAAAATACATACATCTATTTCTTTCCCCTAGAACTAAGTAGCATTTCTTATCATGAAGCTCTTAGGAAGACAGTGTGCGTTTACTGTCTCATTTCTCTCTGCAGTCTCACTTAAGATCATTCTAGTCAGGCTCCCCCACCACACTCTGCTGCAATCGCTATTAATGTATCCCATTTTCTTCTTTACAACACTCATAAAATCTGATGGGACTCATTATAGAAACTGTGGCCTAAAATTATTATAAGGCATGTTTTGAATGGCACAATACTTAAGAAGTGAGTGTTCCTGAAAATTTTTAATATATTCCAAAACGTATCAGAAAATAATCATCTACTGTATTATGTCATGATCCATAAGTGGTCACTGTTAATGTTTTGTTATATATACTACAGGCACTATAAGAATTTTCTAAAAAGTATATATCATATTTATACCGAATTAGCAGCGTATTTCTCCTTATAATATATAAAACCTTATTTCAATAGTATAATAAAATTTTATTCATCTTTCAAGTCTAAAAAATTGTTTACTAGCATATGTTTCCGATGTATAATAATCATATTCCTTGTGAGGAGGTTAGATGTACACATCACACCTCAATTCTTTTTTATCGTCTTCCCCTCACAACCTGCCCTAGCCCTTCCCTCTGCCTTTAGTTCCCTATAATTTTAACGGCTTGAAAGTTTCTTAAACCCTAGTTATTGAACATTTTCCATTTTTAGGAATTATAAAGAAGTCTACAATAGAGTTCATGAAACATTTTAAACTTGATATACTCACTTTAATAAATTAATGTTTTAACAGAAAAATAATAAATTTGAATTATGGTGTGCCAGAGTCATATGCCTTATCATTCTCCCAAGGATTAAGAGTTGGACAGCATTTTCTCACTTTCAAAAATACTCACAACTTTAAATTTTTTTCCAACTCACTTTTTAAATGATATCTCCATTAATTGAATGTATTAGCTTGCATATCATTAATCCTGAAGTTATAAGAGACTCGTCCTATTAGCCAGTACAACTTCCACAGAAACCAGTGTGTAATTAGAGGCAAGGGTTTGTGCTGTGTCTGATCCTTAGCTAATTGTATAAATTTAGATGTTGTTTTTACCAATATTATTTCCTTGAATATAAAAAAATGGACATCACTTTAACACCAAATCTACTCAATGACTCTTGGTGATTATATTCTTTAAAACTAGCGGACCCTTTCCATCAATATAACTTAGTTATTCCTTAGGCTAAAAATTCTTTGATTTTTATCTAAACAAATAATACAAGAGAAATTCTATAACTGATTTAAGCGAATTAGACAAACTTTTCCCACTGTACTGAACAGCACATATTTAATATCACTGTTATTTTGTATACATTCTTTGCTATATGACTAATACTAAGAAGAATCTATTCATTGTGATTTTGAAGATATTAGCTGTCTTTATTATTCACTAGATTGCTTGTACTTTATAATATGATTTTAGATATAGTTCTTGTGCATTAACTACCATAAATTAGTTACCTATGGTAATATTCTTTACATGATAACAATCCTACAGCATTGTAAACTCAATAATTTTCTAGTTGTTTGGCTGGTTTTGTACATGATAAACAAGATCTTATATTTTGCATTCAAATAATAACATTTTACTTAATTTGGTTGGGAATAATTTACATATATTACTCAATCAATTTTAATTCAATCTCCTTTTAGAACAGTGTGATTCAGTTCCCATCAGGGAAACTAAGGGACATTGTTCTCAATCATCTCTGTGTAGCCTACAATCAAAAAGGCACTACTGAAAAGAACTGGTGGATCTGACATCTGTGTAATAGAGTGGGGATTATATATATAGAGAGAGAGAAGAGCGAGAGATGATTAGAAGTTCATAATTTGTTTCTTTAATTGAAAATTTTCATAGATAAAGATGCGTTGTGCTCTAGGTTAGATTATGCTCATAGCTTCATCTGCACCTGATTCACATGAAGAGCTCTGGGACATCAGAGACAAAGATGTTTAACGAAAGTTTGGGAATGGCGTTGAGATTTGTGGTCCCTCTCAAAAAGGGGGCCCCACAAATCATCCACTTTGTCCTCATTTTGCATCTGAAGAAAAAATGGATCATGGATCCCTTGGGGTGAACTATGGTGTGATAATATGCAGAAGATAATTTCAATTCCTCTGCATTTGCTTAAGCATGTGTTTTGAGTTAGTGTGTGGTCTGTTTTGGAAAATGTCCCACGAACATCTGAGAAGAATGTGTATTCTGATGTGGGGTGGAACACTCTGAATGCATATACTTGGTCCACTGGTTCAAAGATTTGGTTCAGTTCTGATATTTCTTTGTTGAATTTTTGGCTAGTTGATCTATTTGTGGCAGTGAGGTATTGAGGTTCCTCATCACAGCTGCTTTAATGCTTATTTGATTTTTCACATTTTTTTTGCATAGTTGGATGTGCCAGTATTTGGTGCATATATGTTTATGACTGTTATTACATCTTCTTGGAGTTTTCCCTTAAAAAGTATGTAGTGACCTTCCTCGTCTCTCTTGATCACTCTTTGCCTTGAAGTTCACTTTGTCTGCAAATAGAATAGCCACCCCTGCTTTTTCTTTCTTTCTGTCTCATGTACAATTGACCCCTCCCATCCCCTGTAGAGGCGTCTCCGTTCCACTCCAGCTGGGATGTCTCTCTTCTCTCATGCCGCTGGGAGCAGGGCGAGGGGAGTGCTGTTGGCCAACTCACTGCCCCTGTGGCCACTATGGAGTTGGCCCAAGGCTGCTTCGGTCCCACTTCTCTCTCCTCTCTAGCAGGGTTGTGCTGACTTCCCACTCATTGCCCCAGAACACCTAAGGTTGCTTAAGTCCTGCATCCCTCTCTCTCTCATGATGCTGGGAGCAGGGGAAGAGGAGTTGTGCTCTTCTCCCTTAATACCTTCACCACAGCCGCTGTGGTCCTAGTTTTGTTGTTGCTCGAGGTTCCAGTTAGCCACTATGGTGCAAGACAGCAAAAGAAGATAAAAACCCTGGCAGCCCATGGAGGAGGGAATGGCTTCCTGGTCACTTATCCCTGTGTGTGCCATCGAAATTTGCAGCCACGCTGCAGTGTCTTTTATCTGGAGGAAGACAAAAATGGCAAGGGGCCTTACATCCAAATCTATATGACATGGCTTGAGTTTGCACACTATTGCAGTCCATCAGTATTTTGGGAATTCCCAGAATGGTGGTTTCTTCTCCGCGCACAGGTGCAAGTCACACAGGCAAGTCCTGTGGGTTGTTTCACCATTTTATAAAGTCTAATGCTATGTTTGTTTCATCCGCAAGTCTCTCACTTGAGACTGATTTTGGCATCAGGACATATGTCACTCCCTTTCTTCCATTTATGTGTCTTTAGCTGACTGTCTCTGAATAAATCCAAGGTGGCTCTTCCTCTATTCAGCCATGTTGAATCTCCCTTGGATTTTCTAATTTGAACCTTGAATTGTTGGAATAAATCTTATTTGGTCATTATATTTCCCATCCTTTCTTAAACACAGTCCAGCTTACTTTTTCTCCTCATAATTCAACCACAATATCTATGGTTAGGTCAACAGTGATTTCCGTGTTGCTGAAGGTAACCACTGTGCCCTTGACTTATTTTAATTAGTTTGCACATAACAGGAAACCAAGTTCATGGTAATTCTATCCTGGAAGTTTACTCTTGATTTTCAACTTCCAGAATATACATTATTCTTATTTCTTCCTACTTTTGTGGAGACTGGCCCTCAATTTCTTCCAATGATTTCTCTATATCTCCCAAAATTTCAAACATTATACATATATATTTATATGTACATATTTATATATACATATATGGTCTTACAAATGTATATACTCTTAATCTCTACTTAGCTGCCTGTTGAGATCTCTAGTTCTCTACTCTAAACTTTCTGAAGTTGAACATCATATATCTAACCTTTCCATAACTGTAGTGTTCCCTGTTTCAGTTTACGAGAATTCAGTCCTTCCAGGTTTTCAGGCCAAGACATTTGAAATATGCATTAAAGTTATGGATTCATTTATTTTTTAATTTGCCAAGTTTTATATTCTACAAAAAGTTTCTACTGCATGCATTTTTTTCTTGTGGATATTGATGTAGGGTTTTTGTGGGAGTTTCTCTTTATGTGGGTTTTCAATCCTTTAAAAATATATTCCAAATACTTTCTTTTTAACATAACCTCTACAGTGCTATTACTACATTTTAAAAACAAATTATTACTCTTATAGGTAAATGCTATTAATTTTCTTATCCTTTTATAGATTTTGCTAAAATCATTTATTGTAGTTTTAAATAGAATCTTCTGTTTCCTTGGGTATTTAATCATATTTTGTGAAGTTCAACCTTCCATAATCATTGCCAATATTATAACAGCAATAATTGGTTTTATTATCCAGTTGTGCCTAGCTAGTCCTTCACAAAACACAATTAAGAAGGATAGTGATGAAAGATATTATGGTTTTATTCTTGAGTTTAATAGGCAGTCAGCCACTATTTCATAATCTTTTTGAATATTTGTTGTTTATTTTTAAGTAGCTTTTCCTTTACTCATTTAAAATAGTATGGAAACTAGATAGTGAATTTATCAAGTGGTTACTTTTTAAAATGATGGGATATTTATGTTATTTTCTCCTTTAATTTGTGCTGATGAATTATGATTGAAAAATTTTCTAATTTTCACAGCCAAAATACATCACATTTTATCATGTTTATTCATTTGATCATTGGCTTGATTTGCTGTATTCTACCAAAATCTTGCATAAACTTTCATAAATGAAACCAGCCTGTAGTATTATTTTATAACACTTCAGTTTATGTTTATGAAGTTTTGGAAGCTGCACAAAGTAAAATATAATCTATGCCTTGCTGTATAAAATGATGGAAGTCTCCACGAATTGCTTATTTTCTGTGCACTGTTTAGGTGGATGATTTGAGGAAGACTTTTGATCAACTTTGCTGGAAGTACAGAAAATACGAACAGCAGTATACGGAGGTCCTTAATGATTTTTATGCCGCTGTAAGTTGACCTTTCCTTGCTTCCCAATAGAGCTCCTTGCTCTGTTCTCAAATATTAACTCATGTACTTAAAATTTATTACTATTGATTTTTCTTTTCTGACCATTAAACATATATCAATGATTCTTTTCTTAAAGAAAAGAACATGGGATGCTGAACTTTCTAATGTTACAAAAGACTTGTCAAACATTTCAATAGCATATGCTCAAGCAATGGGAGAAAATAAAAGGCTTGCAAATGAAATCATCACCGTAACAGATCAAATCAATGAAAGGTAATTTTGCAAATAACATTTTTACATTTCATACTCAATATGTAAAATGTAATAAAGCTCTCCAATTTGTGTTCGTGGGATAATATGGTGGTGTTCTGGGTTCTAATTAGCTTAATTTTTGTTTAGCTATATTCCCAATATTACTCTTTAATCTCTGTAGACACCTTTAGAAAAGGTTAAAAGAACTAAAAAACTGATCCTATAATGACTTTAACACATATTTATCCTACTACCTGTGGGAAAATCCTGTTATATTCAAAAATACTTTAAGTTTAAAGTATATCTGTTCAAGCTCAGCATCCCCTTCATTCAACCCTTAGTTATCCACCAAATTAACTAGCTTTCATGACTCAGAAACTTTAGTTTTCTTAACTTTTCTTCTGCTTCAAAACTCACATTCAGCATATTAACAAAGACTGTACTTTATTAGTAAACACCTTTTCTTCTGGTCACTTTACTGTCCTACCACAAACCTGATAAAGCTATCATATTTCACATGAATTTACAGCAACTTCTGAAACTGGTCTACATGTAGCCATTATACTCTCTAATCTACAATCTCCATGCTAGTGGGCATATTCCTTTTCTTTTCTTTTTAAACCTAACTAGGATTAGCTCTCTTCCATATCTGCATTGAATTGAGCAGCGGTGAAGTGACAGAAACCCCTTCTTCACGTATCACACAAGGTCCCTTGAATACATAGTTCCCTTTGCAGTCCCATTTGTTTTACTCAGTCACCTTTGTTTTACTTTTTATATTAATTTATATTAATTTATGGTACATTTTTACATACATAATGATCACATTCATCATAGATAATTTGTACCCATACATAATATTCCTTTATTCTCTTATTCATCCCATTCCCCTGCCTTCCCTTCAACCTTTTTTTCTCTTTGCCATTTCAAAACTTTATTTTTATTGTTTTCCTTCCATTCCTTTTTTATTACCTGTTCCCTTTATTAAATGGTTCAAATTGTGGCTTTACTTCAAATTTTCCTACTTATCACCTTTACTTTCCAGCCCATGTGGCATTTTATGGTATTTTACTTTCTTACTTTATATTTCCTATATAATTACTATGTATAGTGCCTTTTAGATTGATTCTACAGTGTAGAAGTGAGTTCTGAGAAGACTTCCTTGACTGACCAGTGACATTCATTCTTTATTATATATTTCTATGTGGCACAGATATGCCTTTCCTTCCTCTCTCTTGTCATGTATACAATTTTGTGTTGTGGGAACATTTGACTGACTTCTCTCTCTCAAAATAATTGAGATGATTCATGAGGACAGACTTAAGCATTGCCTATTTTTTCTTTATTATCAACTGCTCATCATCTAATTTCCTGACATGCGCTACGCTATCCATGATTAAGTACTACAGAGAGGGAAGCAGGAAAGCTTTTTTTAAAAAAAATGTATTAGTGATTGTTGTACCATTGGAAAAGACAGAATGGAAACATTAGTAAGACATATCATGTGTTAAACATACTTCTACGAAATCAAAAACAGGGGCTGGGGATTTAGCTCAGCGGCAAAAGCGCCTGCCTGGCAAGCGCAAGGTCGTGAGCTCGGTTCCCGGTAACGGAGAAAAACCAAAAAAAAAAAAAAGAAACCAAAAACAAATTTTTCTAAAAGGTAACCCAAAATTGTAGTTGCTAGTACTACTGTCTTTTATTGTGTTATTTTATTAAGTGAAGGAACCGAACAAAAATAAACAAATAAAAGAAGATCTAAAATGGGGATGAGGTAGGAAGGAGGTAGCTCTGAAGACAAAGACTGAGTGAAAGCCAGCATTTTATTGGGTTACCCTTCCGTAACAAGCAACCCCCATATTGTAGCAGTTTACAACATAAAGAGTTATTTTACATTCACATTGCACTTTAGGTGCCTGCGTTTCATGTTACCTTTTCTGACACCAAGAGTGAAGGATTGTGTACTCGTGGGCATGCTGTTCTGGTATACAGAGAAAAGTACTCTAATGAGATCAGCTGATCTCCCACAGACTCCATAGGAAGGTAATAGCTGTTCCTGGGACTCACAGTCCATCAAAGGAAGCAAATCACGTGAACGGTCAGGTCTCATATTAACAGGATATGGAGTCCAATTCTCTGAGGAAGAGGTATAGTGAGTAATCAAGAGCACCATGACATTCTATCACATGCAGTGAGAGCATAACCCTGATTATACAGAAAAATTTGGATAGGAAACATTTTTTTGTTTTTAATTTTTTTTTGGTGTTTTTCCGGTACCGGGAATTGAACTCACGACCTTGTGCTTGCCAGGCAGGCGCTGTTCCGCTGAGCTAAATCCCCAGCCCCAATAGTAAACATTTTGGTTACTCTGATAACACCTGAAGGTGTCACTTACAGCAAAAACTAGTGCCTCCTTTCCCAAAGTTTTATTTACTTTCCTTCCAAATTTACTATGTCAGTTTACGATTCCCTGTTTTCACAGACAATTAAAGTTTATCATTTATTTCTCAACATAGAGCACAAAGTTAGTTATATTATAATATGCATCTAACAATTTAAATTTGAGATGTTTTTAAAATCTGCTTAAGCATCTTACGCTTCCATCACAGTTTTTGGTGTTTGTTCCCCTTGGCTACTTTTACTGAATGTTGCCAATTTTCCTCTATAAGTTATTTACAAAAAAAAATCTAAAGAGAAGTTAAATTAGTCATTTACAACTTTATATTTATGAGAAGGGCTCTATTTCCTAATTTACATGGTTGGGTATGCCTTAGACTCTATTCTCATTTCCTAAGCCATGATAAACAAACACCATTTTATAAAATTTCCAGTTCTTCCAGAGCAATAATATCTTCCCTAATCCACTTAACATTCTGGTTCCAATGCATAATTATTATAGAAAATGTAGACATTAAAGAAGGTAAAATGTCATTAAATACTTGAAATTATTTTAATACAAAGAGATATTGCTACTATATATAACACATTTTTATTTTTAATGAATAACTGTAAGTCCTATCTTTATCCTGAACATTATGTAATAGAATTTTTGTCCCAGGGGCTGGGGATTTAGCTCAGTGGCACAGCGCCTGCCTGGCAAGTGCAAGGTCATGAGTTTGATTCCTGGTACCAGAAACCCACCCCCCCCAAAAAAAACCAGAATTTTTGTCACAGTATAAGACAAATTTCAAATGCATCAGTTAAATATTTGTATGAGTCTATTATATGAATAAACTATGACTTATGTAGTAATTTCTATAATTTAGATTATTTTATTTTTACTACTTACTATAAATGATGATATGGTGAAGTTTCTTTGGATTCTTTCCTAGCATCATGGTTCTTTTAAATTTAAAATAGGTTTATAGAATGGATTGGCTATAATTCTTTTTCAAAATTCTTAATGCATCTCTGAAATGACTTTCTCAGCCTGCTTAGTGAAGAATGGGATTTCGTGTATGTAGGAAGGACAACATTTCTAGTAGTTCAGAAAAAATGTAATAATGGATACATAGATCAAGAATTTTATAGTAGCCAATTTTCAGATATATTCTGGAAAGGTGCTGTCAGGACCTTTCTACACATGGGATATTAGATATGAAGAGAAGAAAAATAATGCAGTTGCTTTATTCAGATGAGAAGGGCTTGAAAAGGCTCAAATATTCTCTGCAATATTAAACTTCAGGCTGAAGTCACAAAATTTCCTGAGATAAAATAAAGTTTTAAAAATGACCTTGCAAAATTGTAAACATATGAGAAAAACTTCACCACGAACAAAAGTTATCACCAATAACCCTTAGTATATTTACCACTTGAATAATTTTAAAATAATAGAATTATCATAGAATTTAGAAAATACAATTTTTAGATGGCTTTTACCTAGCTAAGTTTAAAGCGACTGCACAAACAAAGTAAACATTGAACACTGGCAAAATAGATCAGGTGGATTTGCAAATAGCCCTCTAAAACATATAAACAAGTAAACTGTATTTTTTTGCTGTGAAAGATTCTATTAAAAGTAGCAGATGGAACTGGGTACAAATTAGTCAGTGTACTTGAAAACAAAAGTAGCACCCAGAATGCAGCAAAGAGAGAAGAAGAGATAAAATATGGAATAAAACTTAAAAGTTATAGAAAATGAAATGAGAAAAAAGAAGAAAATGGGAAAAGTGATCTTCAGAAAGATAATGTCAGAGTCTGAGTTCTAAAGCATGGCTCCTTGGATTTAGACATCATAATGAATCCCATACAAGATAAACTCAGGAATAAAATTTTAATGCATTAACACTGTGGCTTACTCATGTCAATCGTAAAAGCACCACATGTTTTATGTTGAATTTATTCTACAGTAGCAATTTCTGCACACAGCTTTTGTTCTTCTTTCCTTTCCTCGAAAGGATGGTGCCGCCATCTGTCCTTTGTCTCTGCCCTGTTCAGGACATAGTTTGCTTCTGTCACTTCTTTTCTTGACATCTTCATTCATTTTTTCCCTTACTTACTTTTCTTTAAACCTGTAGATATCATTAATCCTCTTCCAATTTGAAATGAATGATGAGCCTTCATCTTTGCACAATCACTTGGTATTTCCATTCTATTCTCATTTAAATGTTTATATAGTTTGCAGATTTGCTAGGTTATTTGTAATGTTTGCTCAACTTTTAGTTATTTTTTTTTTCACATATACCAGTCTGGCTTCTGAAATGTCCATGCTAAGTGTAAAAAAGACTTTGCTGCTGGAATCTACTGGGTAATTTTTAATCCTTTTGCATTCCATTTTTTTCCTCTCTTCTCTCTGTCCCTCCCTTTTCCTCTTTGTCTCTATCTCTGCCTCTGTCTGTCTCCCACACACACATGCATGTATAATATAGATATAGACGCACATATCCACATGTGCATATCCATATTCACTTTTTACTCTCACTCTATATTCTTTATCTCTCTCTAGTATCATTATGATACCTGTACATATCTATTATTTAGCATATGTCTTGGTGTTTAGAGTATCTCCTGGCACTGGTATT